GCTGATTCAGAAGCGCCAGATTGTCATAGCAAAGTCGGAATTGACCCTTTTTTTTTTTTTTTTTTTTTTTTTTAGGAATTCTGAGTTCACTTCTCGCAATTTTAATTTTTTTTCCCACAGAATTCTGAGTTTACATCTCTCGATTCTGATTTAGTTTTTTCTCAGAATTCTGAGTTTATTTCTCACAATTTTTAAAAAAATTTTCGCAGAATTCTGAGTTTACTTCTCACAATATTTATTTTTTTTACGCAGTATTCTGAGTTTACGTCTCACAATTTTGATATTTTTTTCTCAGATTTCTGAGTTTACATCTCTCAATTCTTTTTTTTTGTAATTGAGTTTACATCTCACAATTCTGTTTTTTTTCTGCCACAGAATAAAAATATAAAGGGGAATTGCTACTTTTTCCTCTCATGATTCTGACTTTTCTTCAGAATTGTGAGGGGAAAAAAATCTGAATTGTGAGACAAAGTTTCAATTACCTTTTTTTTTTATTTTTTTTTTATATTTTTATTGCATGGCTGAAATACGCTTCCATCATATGCGGTTCACTGGTATTGTGTTCTTATAGAAGTATATAGCATGTCTTACGCGGTGGTCTTGCCGATGTCCCGGACGCTCTGTAACGGGTCGGTGGTGTCGGGACAGCGCAGTATGCAGGGTGCAAACACGATGGCCAGTGCGTTTGCAGACATGCGGTTCGTCTCCTCCTGGAATGAGATCCTGAAACAAACCAACATAAACTTGACCTTGCTAAAATTACTGCAGGCTTCTGCTGTTGCAGCAGGCATTGAGTAAAAGCATCCAGGCTATCGTCTCACCGGACCAGGTGGAATATGAGTCTCTCCAGTGTGCTCAGGTGAGTTCGGCTGAGCTGATCGATGACCGAATAAACTCCCTGAACCACCTCACTTTTATCCTGCAGACCTACACCAGCCAAAATGACAACACACACTCCATTATATCCACGTAAATCAGCCCAAATTTGAGTATTTTGCAGAAAATAGTAAGAGAACAGGATTCACAACAATCTTCTTAAAGGGATAGGTGATGGTAGCCATTGACTACCATAATATTTTTTTCCATACCATATGAGTCAATGGCTACCGTCAACTGATTGGTTACCAACATTCTTCATAATATCTGCTTTTGTGTTTAGCAGAAGAAAGAAGCTCATACAGGTTTGGAATAACATGAGGGTGAGTGAATGATGACAAAATTTTCATTTTAAATAACCCAATAAATTCTTACCAATGGGGATTTAAGATAAGTTGGAGTTTATCCCAAGTTATTTATGATGATTTTTAATATAATTTTTTAAAGATTTTGAATTTTTCTGAGAAAACAAGAACATTCCTAAGTGTTTTTGGGGACAAAAATGTATGAAAATAAGCAGTTTTATTCTTAAGAATCCATTATATGCTCTTACCCATAGCCCTGAGAAACTCCTCATAAAGTTCAAAGGTCATGAGGGGGTTGGGAAGGTCACGCAGCCACTGCTTCAGCACACTGGCGATCACATGGATGTTGTAGTCGTCTAAATTCACGCTGTTCGCATCTGCGATGAAGGCAAACATGCGGCACTGTCATTGAGAGTTGCTACTTGACTAAATTCATGTTTTCATAAATAGACATGTAGCTCACCGGTGTCCAGCCCCTGCTTGAGTTCTTTGATTTTATTGGTGGATCCAGACTTCCTGTAGATGCCCTCGGTGTACAGGCCGTGCATCTCGATGTAGTTGATCAGCTTCTCCACCACCAGGGGGACGGCTCTCTCATCGCTCGTTAAACGAGACAACTCCACTCCAAACTGCCGTGAAGACAGCTCGGGGTCAAACTGAGCACACACACACACATACATAGAGACATACACAAATGAATTACATGAAAAAATGATGACTGTAATGAAGCTTGAAACACAAAGATGATTCACATACAACTGGTGACTGCACAGAAAGATCATTTATGAGAGAGGACACCCTAGCAACCACCCAGAACACCCTAGCAACTGCATAGCAACACCCTAGCAACGACCCAGAACACTTGAAAAACTCCATAACAACCATCCAGAACACCCAACAACTGCATAGCAACATCCTAGCTACCACATAGCAACACCCTAGTAGTAACCACCCCAAATACTAGGGCTGCACGATAAATCGAAATGAAATCGCAATTGTGATTAGGCAAAGGCTGCGATTTTCTTGAGCATCTTGTCAGTGAAGCACGGTTCTGTGATCAGCAGTAAATCTCCATCCAAAGGCCAGAGGGCGCTCTCGCGTGAAAACTCCAAATACGCCCCGCAGAACAAACCCAGGAAATCCCTATAGCGGAAGCTGAATAAACAGAAGATTCAACTGCTTTCACTGATTCAATGTGACTAATAAACACACGACTAGGACAATATATGGTTTATCGGAGTTCTTATTATTATAATTTTCATTATAATAAAGTATATTTATAATGCAATGCCTTTATCACTGCTAGAATAGAATACTATGAAATATGTTGCGTGCCTTATTCTGTGTAAGAAGCCACATCATCTCACAGAAGGATTTATTTCAAACACTCGACTGACGTTATGAAGTGAGTTTAGAGTAAAAACATGTTATTAAATGTGATATTTTCACATGCTTTCAGAAAGCAGCATTTACTACACAGAGCCGTAGTTCACTGACAAGCTACGCAAACAGCTGTCATTATCGCGAATGATTTCTTCGATTTCATAATCATGCAGTAATATTGTCTGCGGTTTTTTTGCGTAACTTGTCAGTGAACTACGGCTCTGTGTAGTAAATGCTGCTCCATCTGAAATGATCTGAAAGCACGTGATGGAGATTTACTGCTGATTACAGAACCGGCTTTACTGACAAAATGCGCATGACAATTGCATTCGATTAATCGTGCAGCCCTACTAACTAAACAAACAAACAACTAACTAAATAAAATAAATACCTTTCGGCTGTGTCATAATGTTATTAGTTACATCTCAAAAACAAACGCCTTCATGTGACAACCAAGTTTTCAAAACATTTCTACATAAGCATGCAAACAAACCAAACTTTTAAAACAAACATTCACAAAAACTTTGCAAACATGGCCAATTAAACACACAAAAACAGCAAAACATGGCCCCCAATGAGCAATGTTTTGCAGACTCTCACTTTGACAACAAACAAATGCACAAATAAAAGAAAGTGTATCTGTTTTGAATCAGTGTTATTATAGTTAAATAAAAAAAAGCTTACATAAAATAAAATATAAATAAACTTATTTTATTTCAAGTTTTTTTTTTCTCATTTTCTCAACATGTCTAATTTTCATTTAGTTTAACTTGATGTACTAAAATAACTAAAACTGAAATAAAAATTAATAAAAAAGGACCATTTAAAAAAACTAATACAAATGACAGAAACAAACAACATTACTAAAACTTAGTTAGGACTACAAAAAAACTACTAATTACTAAAAAAATTTAAACTAATTTAAGATATTGATAAAACTATAATAGTTTCTCAATGATAATAAAATAACATAAAATAACAAAACAAACATTTACAAAAACATTCCAAACATTTAAATAAAATAAAAAAAAACAACGCCACATAAATTAGCAATGTTTTGCAAACTCTCACTTTCACAAAAAAAAGAAAAGGTTCAGATATAAGTGCTTTGTTACACATATAATAAAAAAGTGTATCTGATTTGAAGGGTTATTGCTGTTAACTAAAACAAAAAAATGGTACTTAATAAAGAATAAAACAGAATAAAAAAAGAATAAAATAACCTTAAAGGAATATATATATATATATATATATATATATATATATAT